AGTAGAGATGCCCTTGTTACTAGTAGAGATGCCCTTGTTACTAGTAGCGATGCCCTTGTTACTAGTAGCGATGCCCTTGTTACTAGTAGAGATGCCCTTGTTACTAGTAGAGATGCCCTTGTTTCTAGTAGCGATGCCCTTGTTACTAGTAGAGATGCCCTTGTTACTAGTAGAGATGCCCTTGTTACTAGTAGAGATGCCCTTGTTACTAGTAGCGATGCCCTGGTTACTAGTAGCGATGCCCTTGTTACTAGTAGCGATGCCCTTGTTACTAGTAGAGATGCCCTTGTTACTAGTAGAGATGCCCTTGTTACTAGTAGCGATGCCCTTGTTACTAGTAGCAAAAGTTTGTTTTAATCCAAATTGCATGATCCCTTTCGTGCTGAGGAATGTGATCGAGAAGGACCAACCGTATCGGTTTGCCAGTCATTCAACACCAAACACGCCCAAACACCTTCTATTGGGTCATTCAACACCGACTAGGTAGCATGCATGGCTGCAGATTTAGGGCAGTGCTGCAGTGTGCAGCAACGTGGGAAGAAAGGCAAGCAGGAAGGTGGATCCTAAAACAGTGGAGCATTTACACAGAGAAATTATATGAACCGATTTTATAATGAATGCTCTGTGGAGGTAGGTTTGATCCAATCACATTCTGTTTCCTTTTGCCATCCTCCCTTGCAGGGGATGTTTCTTTGCCATCCTCCCTTGGGGAGAAATCATGGTGTCGATGACCATCAATGTGTTCATTTCGGGAGAGCATTCTTGGGGGGACAGGAGCAGATGAAGCTGGCTGATGCTGAGGAAGCCAAGGACGTCGAAACAGTGAGATAGGCAGGGAGGCCTCGCAACGGGCCCTCAAAAACACGAAGAATAGAGCAGTCTGGGCCAGCGGTCTCCCAATTCAAGCGCATACCCATGTTGGAGAAGGCCTCTCAATCCAACAAGAAACCTCTCTCACTTAGACCTAGAACCTACAAAAGTGTGTTCATTGGGTGCTGGAGTTACCAGTTGGAGGTGGATTCAACAACTAGTCCAATTCGTGTAAAGATGTCCTATTGTCAAACTGAATGTCACCCCTGTAGATGGGCTATGGTCGAAAGTTAATGAAAAGTCTCCAATAGCTGTTGTATGCTTGCAGGTGGAACCTTTTGGACTATTTGCGCGGAAATGGAGCAGTTTCTCTATGTGCCTAGTAACTAATTTGGTGTCTCCTGAATACCATCGTCTTGCCAGTTCATTTCAAGAATCACTGGGAGTGGTGAGTTGTGTCAATCACCGCACAGAACTCGTGTTGGTCTTGTGTGACCTAAAAATCACCTGCGCAGGAGGGCGATGCTGACGGTGCGGCCGAAGCATGGAAGATCTTCAAGGTTGGGCGTCGTTGGGCTGGCTGGTCATCACTATTTCTAGCCGCTCCATGCATTGGCAGCATATTTACCTATAGAATCCTATAGAAGTTATTAGAAGCTGTTTCTTCGCCATATCTTCTGCCCAAAAATCGGACATCGGCACTTCGTGGTGTGCTTCCCGTGGGGTGATCACAATCAGAGTGGGTACAGACCGGCCGGGGGTAGGCCGCGAGTAGAGGAGGTACAGCCGCTTGGTAGGTAGCTACTAGTATGGGCGGAGGATAGCTCATGCACTACTGATTTGGTTCCTAGATTTTTTTTGGAAAACTTAAGGTGCCACCTGCATTCTTTGGCTTACAATGGCCAAACCCAGCTGTGTTGTTGCATGCAATTGCATTGGTTGGCGTCGTCTGTCCAGTAGTACCATTTGGGATCAGGATCAGGCGCTGTATTTAGAAGCTGGCTACACGTCCGACAAAACAACAACACACTCGGACTGTTTTGCAAAAACCTTTGAACACGCTGTGTGCAAAATATCGCGAACTCAGGAGACATAACGCGTGAAACAGGCGAAACTTTGCCAACCAGCTGTTTTGGTTGGTTTCACCTTTGGCTGTTTCTCTTGCACTCATGCTGTGTATAAGCAATGCATCGTTTGCAAACGTCTCTCAACTGTTTCAAAGCTCTTGGCTGAAAGGATGCCAGGAGTTTTCTCAACAAGGCTTGTTTTTGTTGAACCCCCACAAGAGGAACGCCAACTACAGACCTGCATGGATGTTGAATGATGTTGAGAAATTGAACCTGCACACTATTTTCCTTTCTGCATGCAAAAGTTTCTGTGCGGGCGAGATCTTAAGAAGAAGAAGAAGCTGCGGACGGCTGCTGGCAGAATCAATAAACTTCTTGAGATCCCAGGTATTATTGACCCCTGACGCCGCCCAATGTAAATCTACATATTAGGTACTGTATATGCCTTAAAGCCTTAGATGGAGTATTTGGGCTGCTAATCTAGTCCCGATTCATAACCCGGCCAATGTTCGAAATGGAGGGAAATCGGTTGAGTGGCTCATAAGCTTCCGAGAAAGAGGGTCAATAGATGGTTCTGGGTGTTTCGTTTCTAATTTAATTCGCTGAGCATACTATAGCATATACTGTATCTATTGGCTAACAGCGGCTACCAATGTTGCAATGTTGCTTCCCGTGTTCAGTTTGAAGACTTCACCTCGTTCAAAAAAAAGCCCGAAGAGCATCAAAACGAGTCACTGGGTCCTCCAAAACGTGACAAAGGAAGACCAGATCCATAGAGAGAGAGAGAGACGAGGCACACGAACGACGTGCACCCTGATCGTTGTTGCCATCGTGGTCGTTGGAAAAAGACAGGTTCAGGAACTAAAGACTTGACATTGAACTCGAGCGCACAAGAAAAGAGGCTTTGCCTAGCTAGGCCTTTTCGTTCTGTGGAGGAAGGAACCGACCCAACTTTGCAACTGGACAACTTCCTTAGGTGGCATGATGTTCTTTTGGACATGTTACTACCTGTTGTTGCTGCTGATTTGATGATTTGTCCCTCTATAGGTGAATCCCCATTTGGGCAGAAGTGTTGCATATGCTTTCGTTCCGAGGAAGCAACGTCCAAGTTGGGGTGACCAAGACCACCTTCCTCCCAGCGTTTCCACCGCGTGAGGAGCAGTTCCCCAAGGCTGCAGAGAATGAGGCTGTCCGGTCCGGTGGAGGGCGAAGGCGAGTTGGGTGGATCATCATTTCCCTATGGATCCAGGTGAATGTACCAATAGCATCCAATGGGCGTCCAATGGACTACCCTACGCCCTACACTACTTAGTACTTACTGTAGGGATCTCCATCGGACACCCATTGGATGCTGGTAGGAATTGTTTGCTCCATCAGGTGAATGATGAATGAATCTGCCGGGTGCATCATCATTCTCTACATCAGGCTTTCTGTTCACCCACAGAGACATGGCTCTCTCGGTCTTCAAGGCGTCACTCGTCGCACCAAACTCCGGATTTCGACTGGTCCGAGAGGTAAACTTGCTTTTCGATTGCTAGCGGTAAACCGGTAAACCGTACGTTCGGATGCGAGTTTTTGGCGACCAAGTCTCGGTTTTTGGTGGGTTCGGATGTGGATGACTTTTCTTCGTGTTGGGTCACCCGGCAGTTTCTACCGAGCGGGGCCGCTCAGGTGTGATTTATGGACAGTTTTTCTGGTACTGTATGTTTAGTTTGTGTTTGGCTGCACGACAGCAACTCTTATATCGCGATATATCGTGGTTAGTATCGCGGTTGTTTGCAAAGATCGCATGGACAGATCTCCTGTACCAGGGCATGATCGCCGGATGTTTTCAACATCTTTCAACCATCAGAACTACTCACAGGCCAGTGAATGAGTGGATCAGTGGGTTTTTCATGCTCGACCCACATACTACCCACCCGATCGTTGATTCGTCGATTCGGATGGTCGGCCATCCATGCTTCACTTCATGACATGCCATGGTTCGCAATTTTGCAATGGGAAACTGGAGCCACAGAAGGTATTGGTACGTCACGAATGGTATTTGTACGGTACGTCCAGGATACTTCGAGGCCGGTAGTGAGTCCCAGTATATTTGTCCAGTCCAGTCCAGTAACCACCTGAACTGGGTGCTGCTGGTTCCAATGTTGCTTCCAGTGATTTGCCGCATCCCTCCGCCCCTCCGTCGCTGGGCAAGATCTACATGACCACGCCATGCCGGGAGGCGAGGTGTGACGATGCTAATCCGTGGAACAGTGGTGTTGGCGACAAGACAATACAAGACTCGTTAAGACGAACGTTGGCATGGCATATGATGGCATATGCATCCTTTCTTGCAAAAGGGTGTGAGAGAAGGACAAGTTGAGATTTAATGGGCTTTGCTGTGCTCATCAAAAAGTAAGACCTTGTTTTGAAGTCAGGTGATTTTTGTTGTTCATGTTCATGATTCATTGTTCTTCATGTTCTTCCGAGAAGTCGGACCTTGCGAGCAGGTACACCATGCAAGGGGGTCAACTTGACCTTAAGCGCCTGCCATGTACACCATCACGTTTGCATTGACATAGTAGTAAGATGCTTCATGATGATGGCAGGATATGGTGGATATTGATTCAGAGTCAATTCAGAGCATCCCTTCATGGACTCCAAGGCTGTGTATGTGCAAAATAGTAAGGTAATTAAACCAATCAGCAACGATCTTGATCGAGCTATTTTTGGTTCAAGGTGGACGCCTGGGTCATGGCGCCAGGAGAAGGCCTCTCTTTGGCAGCACCTCAGAAGCCGGAAGAGGTGCAGGTGGAGGATCCATGTGTAGTGGATGAAGATCCCCTTCCTGAGACACCCAGAAGCTCCTTTTACACCTTGATCCACTTCGACTTGCCGAAGGGAGTGCCAGGTCCACCGTGCTTCAGGACACATGCTCGACATGTGGTGAACTTCGACCGGTTCCGAGAGGCTGTGGAGGGTTCTCCCAAGAAGTTGGTGGCGTTGGTGAGGCAAAGTCGCCAAAAGAGGCTGAAGGACTTGGGATGGACACGATGAGGACACACCAGTGGACACACCATCATCCGCCTTGCTAATTTTCGAGCCGCTTGAGCTGGCAAGATCATGCGTGCATGAATAATGCAGAGGCAGAGGCCCCTTTGGGCCGCGGTCTTGTAACAGTTTAAGAAACTCTCATGTTTTAGACACTATAGTTGTCTTCAAGTCTAGTGATCCAGAGATGGCTATTCAGCGCAATTATGTGCAGTCAGGCAGGACTAGGACCCAAAAGTTCAGCTCTTCTCGAGTGTTCGTTGCGCAGTACGTTCTTCGGATCACATGTCAAACTTGCTGTGCCCGTGCAACCCAAAGAGCGGCGCGGTGCAGACGCAATCGCAGCACCTTTGGCGTGTGAAAAGGACGAGACTTGGAGACGAGACTTGACCGCATGGTTGGCTGATCGGATTGAATCTTCCCGAATTGCTTCATGTCTACCTGGCCATTCGCCATTGGAGGCCATTGCTATTATATATTTGGTTGGAGTATGTTAATGTTGGAGGGCAGAGCGGCCTTTAAAGAAGACGTTTTCTCGAACAGATTGCCCAACAGACCTGGATCGCTTGCGGGTTCGGACCAACGCGCGGACCAGGCGGACGTGAAGTACCGCTTCCGACGGCTGAAAGAGCACCTCGAGGCCCGCAGTGGCCTCCGTGGTTTGCCACGAGATGGCCATGTGCCGTGAAAAGGCAGCTTGGGCTCTTGAGTTGGGGTGACTCTAAGTACGGGTGATGGGTGAAGACATGTGAAGACAAGACACGAAGCGGTGGAAAACCAGAATCGGTACCTCCAAGAAGTTGGGGTCCTCATGGATTTTTTCGTTTCGAGAAAAGGTTCAAATCATCCAATTAATTGGCACCATCTTCAGGTCTACCACCTGAACCGCCTAAACCATCCTAAACCTATAGGTCATGAAAACTATGCTATCCGGGACAGGTCACTGGATGGTTTGGGTTATCATATGATGCGGCCTCATTAAATTGACAATCATATAAAGATCGCTTGAATAAATGCAATAAGCAAGCAGTAACAGCAGTTCAATTGTTGCACGATAGAAGAAAACTGGCTGGGTGAAATGGTGGAGGGGAGAGGTAACACAAAGCAGGCTGATGAGCTTGAGCACCAGTGTGGTGTGGATTAGGTGTTCTGACTGGATGGAGACTCCAAAGATGTGAACGCGATGGACATCCTGTTGGGCTAAACTAATTTGGCGGGCAGAGTTCATGTGATGTTGTGACTGGGTCCCAAACCTGTGGACATGATCATGGACTCAAATCTAGAACACTCAAAGCTCAATAACATTGGGAAAGTGTTATAGGGGACTCACAAATGTGCAGACGCCAAAAAGTTGGACCGCCTCAAGTGTAATGAAGATGTGATGCAGGAGCACAGAATCAAAGATGCCGGCCCCAATTCCAGCGAATCCACCGCATTTGCGCGTGATTTCCCACGTTGCAGATTGATGCCGAGACTGCCCTGCAGATCGTTGGGAGAGCACCTTGGCCGGTCGAAACCGCGGGGAACCCGCGCTGCGTCGGCGCGGTGAAGCCAAGCTCTTTTTTGAGGGGGTGAACGGGTCAGCGTCAGGCGTCAGAGAGTGAGCCTAAAGTTGATTTCAATTATTCCCATCAATTCCCTATAGTTCATCCGACACTGAGACGCCATTGAACTACAGTATATAGTTCAAAGGGAACCGAAACTCATTTCTCAGAAATCGGCTTTCATTGCCAGTTCATCGGATCTGGAATCGCACCACACCACACTCCTCCTTCGCAAAACCACCACCACGCTGGTCTTCCGCGTTCCCCCCAGGAGGCGGCAGCACCAGCGTTGCTGTGGACGTGTTTGTTTCGGCCGTGACCGGTGCATGACCGAGGACTCCACTCCCATGTTCGTGGACCCGGACTTCATCCGGCGCACCTGGAAGGCCATGGTCAAGGCGCTTCGCAGTGGAGAAGCTGAGAAGCTGGGCGGAAGCAACGAATTGGGACTTCTATTTGGGCCAGGATTCAATGGATCATGTCAGGATCAAGGTAGTTAAGTAGTGGTTACTGTAATTACAGTATATTACAGTATTCTATATGCAACTTATGACTTTTTGTATGTCAAAATGTGACTCGTGACTTGACAGTCTTTTTGTCTTAGGCTATGCAATACTGTTTGTGTATGAGAATCGGTAGAACTTTGTTTTCCAAGAATTCGGAATCAACGGAATCAACACACGGTGTGACACCACTAGGAACTATTGTTGTTCACTTCGCACGCGCTTCATGATTCGACTCACGATGGCCTCCAACCTACTTGCGATTGCCTCCAACCTACTAGCAAGCTATATTAGACCGTTCGTCCTTTTCTTTTTTCTTTGTTTCTAATAGGGCTCGAGTGTAGCTTTGAGCCCCAGAACCCAACACGGGTTCGTCGACTCGGCCTGCGCGTGCCTCGCTTTGCCGTTTGGGAGCCATAGTGCACTGGTATCCGTACTGCAAGGGATTGGTATACGTTCAAGCTGGCGAAGTGGCCCAAATCCCCAAACTCCCATCGACGGAGGAGGAAGGTCCGGGCAAGAAGCAGAATACAATTACGATCTGCAGTGGAGAACTGGGACTTTGAATCGGACAGATTCAAGAAGGCCTACCGTGCACTGAGGTGGCATCACTCCTGGACAAGACAACGATCTTTGTCGCTGGCACAGAGGATGTCATGGAAGGGCTACTGGGGCGGCAAGTCCAGTGGCAAGGCCGGGAAAGGCAAGACCCGGTCATGGAACCTTTGGGGCACACCTCCAAAGAAGAAGAACGAAAAGAAGAAAGAGAAAGACGAGGACAAGTCCCTTTTCCCAGGGTACGATTCCTTGCGCTCCTCTTCGTCTACGCAGCCCTCGGTGGAGGGGATGAAATCTGCCTTGAAAGAAGCCATGAAGTCCACTACAGACAAAGAGTCTGCGGAAGGTGGGCTGCTCAAGGCAGTGCAGCAGATCGTTGGTGCGAATGCAGAAGACGAAGAGAAGGAAGAACTTCGCTCTCTGCAGAAGGATTTGAATATCCGGAAGAAGTTGGTCGAAAAGATGTCACGACTAAAGAAGGCCAAAGTCGAGAAGGCTCGGGCCTGGGATACATACAAAGAAGAACTGAGGAGACATTACGACCAAGAGCACGAAAAGTTCAAAAAGGACTTAACAGGCATCGATGCCGAGATCAAGAATACGGCGGACAAGATCGAGGAACTCGATGCGGAAGCTGCCCTTCGAGAAAAACCCGTGCCGAGCATGGAAGGCATAGATATGGATGCAGCTACCAATATGGAATTGAGAGAGCAACTGGCCAGAGCACAGCAAGAGCAAGCGAACACTGCGAAGATGCTAGCCTTACTGCAAACGCAGTTCCAGGCATATACCAGCAGTGGTGCACATGGACCAATGCCATCAGAAGCAGCTGCTCTTCCAAGCCCATCCGATTTGCGGAAAAGGAGATTGGCACAGGTAGAACGAACAGGTCCTGCTCAGCCATCTCAGGTGCCTACTTTCCGCATCGACGACGAAAGGGAGCGAAGTCCAAGGAGGTCCGAACCTCCGGGTCCGGACTCACAGGACCTGGACAAGTTAGGGTAGCCAGAGCTAGCAATGAGATTGAGCTCAAGCTTACTGATCTAGCGATATGCCCCCATTTTGGCGCCGTTTCAATGTGGATGACAGATGTGGGCTTTCGTTTTTCAGTATTAGACTCAAGCTGCTGGCAGATGATGCATAGGAATTTCTACGGACGTTTTCCTTTTTTAGATGATGCTGAAAGGAAATGGGATATTCACAATTTCCGTTCCTGGAACCATCAGTATTGGAGTGTTTGGATACCTGGCGCTACTTTCAATCAGCTGACAGGACACCAAGGCTCCAAAGACACTACCTTTCTTGATGACTCCGTTAGGCTTTCTGGAACAGGTGCAGGCCATTTGAAAACTGCCATCGGTTTGCCTGAGAAGGAGCAACAATACCTTGATTTCTTGCAGGACAATCAGACAGCTGAGATTGAGCCGAATGTTCAAAAACATCAATCAGAACTCAGTTATGTCAATGAGAACTGCATGAAGATTTGTGGCCTTGTTTTGCTTATCCAATGCGTCGGCATGCATTGGGGCATTCTCGGACAAGTTTGGAAACAGACTTTTCGTTTGAACCTCAAGCGGAGGAGGAGCAGAGCCCTGCTCCAGAGATCAACGGTTCTCTCAGTTTTGGCCAGCATTTGTGAGTTCATTACGGTTTCTAATATCTGTTGTGAACACCAGCTGGTTTTGAGTTACAAAAGCTTAGCGTGCAAAGCCGTTACAGGATTGCAGATATGCGTTTGCTTTTCTGTCGCCTGCAGGCTTTCGTTTCGCTTTCGACGAGATAGATTGGGCGAAGCAACATGCATAGGATCGAGTCGGAAAAAGGTGCGACCAAGATCGAAACCCAAAGTGAATTGGACAGGGATTTTTCTTTGTCTCAATCTGGTAAGTGCACATGCTGCCGAACATTTCTCGAAAGGCAATTCAGTGTCTTTCCCAATCACTGACATGGAGAATGTGACTGAGGAGTACAGCAGCCTTTTCCAATTTGTGCCTCCGCCAGATGTGCGATTCAGCTTTGAAGTTGAACAACAATGGGTGCGCAGCACTGTGGTTGACCATTTTCCCAGGATCAAGTTCCCTACTGAAACGTTCCTCTTCAACAATCAGCATTGGCCAATCCTGCTTTGCTATCATGTAGGGGCACCCGGAAGAACCTGGGCAGCAGGGATGAGGGTGGATGAGCTCCTGACCCCGGACACGGTTCGTCTCAAAGTCCGGCGTGCAATGCATGATGTTTTTGCCAATGACGAAGTGGTAACAGTTGGCGCAGTCGTTCCACAGCTCTGGACAGAATTTCCTCAAGATGACTCGCTCATACTTCTCACAATGCAGGGGCGGGTCCAGCCTGGCCGGAATCCTTCGCTGATTTATCTAAGACCGGGTAGACTTTGGGAGGCAAGTTTTATTCCAGTACTGTTTGGACGGTCCGTTAGCCGAGAAGAGGTAATACACGCGGCTGGAATTACACAGCCATGTGAAAGGCCGGGGGTCGAATGCCGAGTGCTGATTGAAGCGGCGTACGAGGTTTCGTTAGCGAAGCATAGACTCTCAGGATGGCAACGCATTGATGTCCTTGGCACTGAGGAATCTCCTTTGCGATGCAGTAAGGAAACTGAGGAAACAGCTCTCATGCAGACTTTCCCAACAACCCCTTATGATCATGATGCTGACCTACCAGAGTCCAAGAGCCGGGGTGAGGGTACTGATGTGACTCTGTTCCAACATTTCCAAAGTGAACATCTCCGTCCCTCTTCGCC